ATTCTATTCTATTCTATTCTATTCTATTTCTATTCTATTCTATTTCCATTCCATTCTATTCTATTCTATTCTATTCTATTTCTATTCTATTCTATTTCCATTCCATTCTATTCTATTCTATTCTATTCTATTTCTATTCTATTCTATTTCCATTCCATTCTATTCTACTCTACTCTGTTCCATAGATCCGTCATAGAGTCCAGCAACTGTTCCCCTCTCAAGCGTCCAACTCCACTCACAGGAGCCTCCCCTGCCCTCCACAGTGACGGTCAGATGTTCTGTGACCCCACGAGAGGCTTTGCCAGACACCTCCTGCCCGGTGCGTCTGCCTGGGACCGGAAGCCTGGCCAGAAGACTTTCTGCGTGGCCCCCGCGAGTGTCAACGTCAACCTTTTCCCGCAAGCCACGTCCTGGTTCTCCTCCAAAGGATTCTTCTCCCTCTTCTCCTCCCCCCCCCCCCCCCCCCCCTGCAGCATGATTGTCTGGGCTGGGCTGGGCTCGAGTGTGGAAAAGTCACCTTTGAAGTTGGAGAGGTCTGGGATATAAAAAGCCAGCGGCGGTTGAGGGACAGAGAGAATCGAGTCTGGAGGACACCATGGGACCTTTGGGCCTCCCGCTCTTCCTCTTCCTCTTCTTCTTCCTCTCCACGGGGTGTGCTCTGTTCCCCATCACCCTCCCCGTGGGAACTGTCAAGTTTTCTTTAGGTGAGTAAGGATGCAAGGGGTTTTTGAGAGCTTCTCCGAGCTGGGTGGTTTTCCAACAGACCCAAAGGTGCTTTTCCAAAAGGCAACTGGACTGGGGCTTTGTAGTTTTTGTTTTTTTTCCCCTTGAAGATGTTTTGCTTCTCCTCCAAGAAGCTTCTTCAGCTCCTCTAGAATGGATGAGGAGCAAAACGTCCTCAAGGAGAAAACAAAATCCAGTTGCCTTATAAAAAAAAAAAAGCACCTTGGGATAACCATGACTGGGATGAGTGAGAACCCCCGTAGGTATTTTCCTGCAGATAAAGTAAAGATGGACATCCTTCCCTCTTCTGCAGCTTGGATCCGGGTTCTCGGGGTGTCAGCTTCAGCCCTGAGCTTCCTGTGGCTGCAGGGACCTTCCTCTTGTCCTGACACTGACCGCCGGGATGAGCAGCCCCTCCCTCCAGAGACTGTACAGCCCAAAGTTTGTGGGTTGCAAATAGGCGGTGTGATCTTGCCGTTTTCACTGTTTTTGCTTTTTGCATTGTTTTTCATCCTTTTCGGGAAGGGGGGTGACTTTTGCAAGCTGCTCCAAACCTCTTCTGATCAGAGCAAAAAACTCAACCCCAGGGAATAAATAAATCATGCAAATTGGGTAAATTCCTGAAGTGCTTAAGTGGCAGGAAGACAATATCTCATTTAAAGAATGATCTAATCTAAGGGGGAAATTTCTCAGGAGTGAAAACAAGTTGCAGAAGACCTTATGCCACCAGATGCGAAATCCTACACCTAGAACACCTAGAACTACGCCGCTAAGTATGGTATATAAAATCATACATTGCAATGTCCTACCTGTCAATCAATACTTCAGCTTCAACCATAACAACACAAGAGCAAACAATAGATACAAACTCAAGGTTAACCGCACCAAACTTGATTGCAGGAAATATGACTTCAGCAACGCAGTGGTCAATATTTGGAATCCTCTACCTGACTCTGTGGTTTCTTCCCCAAACCCCAAAAACTTTAACCTTAGACTGTCTCCTATTGACCTCACCCCTTTCCTAAGAGGTCTGTAGGGGGCGTGCATAAGCGCACCAACGTGCCTACCATCCCTGTCCTATTGTTTCTCTTATTTTTTTAATTTTTCTTATATGTATCCATGTATTCATAACTATGTTTTTACTTATACATATTATCTTGTAAGCAATTGACAAAAATAAATAGATAAATAGATAAATAGATAAATAGATAAATAGATAAATAGATAAATAGATAAATAGATAAATAGATAAATAGATAAATAGATAAATAAAATTAACCAGTGGAACAGCTTGCCTCCAGAATGTGGATGCTTCAACCCTGGAGGTTTTTCTAGAAGAAACTGGACAACCATTTGTCTAGAAAGATATAGGTACAGATACAAATACAGATAATCAGAGTTGGAAGGGACCTTGTAGGTCATCTAGTCTAACCCCCTGCCTAAGCAGGAGACCCTACACCATTTCTGACAGAGGGCAGCCCAGTCTCTTCTTGAAAGCCTCCAGGGATGAAGCTACCACAACTTCTGAATAACAGAATAATAATAGAGTTGGAAGGGACCTTGTAGGTCATCTAGTCCAACCCCCCCCAACCCAAGCGGGAACCCTACACCATTTCTGACAGATGGAAGTCCAGTGTCTTCTTGAAAGTCTCAAGTGATGGCACTCCCACAACTTCCGAGGGCAACTTCTGTTCCATGGGTTGATGGTTCTCACTGTCAGAAAGTTTCTCCTTATTTCCAGGTTGAATCTCTCCTTGTTCAGTTTCCATGCTGAGCTTGTCTATCAGAAAGGTTGGCAGTTCAGCGGTTCGAATCCCCAGCGCCTCATCACGGAGTGAGCTCCCGTTCCTTGTCCCAGATTTTGCCAACCTAGCAGCTCGAAAGCATGTAATAAAAATGCAAGTAGAAAAATAGGGACCCCTTTGGTGGGAAGGGAACAGTGCTACGTGCGCCTCCGAAGGCGTTTAGTTCTGCCAGTCACATGACCACGGAGACGTCTTCGGACAGCGCCGGCTCTTCTTCGGCTTTGTAACAGAGATGAGCACCGCCCCCTAGAGCCAGAAACGACTAGCATGTATGCGCAAGGGGAACCTTTATCTTTTACCTTAATGTAGCATAGAAAGAAAACACAAAAGTAAATGGTGGGGAAAATATGGAAGGGAAAAGGGAGCGAAAGAGAAGAGAATAAAGGGGGAAAAGGCATTGACTTGCGACTCTCTTTGATGCAGTAAAATGAGGCATTGGCATCAAACCTCAACTTTATACTTTTATGTAGTCGTATAAATGAGCCATTTCTATAACAACCAATCTTTCTAATATTGGCAAAACCCAAAATCAAGGTTTCATTTTTCCCCATCTCGCACACAAAGTCCAGAAGCGATTTCCAAGTACAAATAAAAGTATTAATTTTTTTTTCTTTGATCAATGTAGCCACCTCTGCTAACTCCATCAATTTTTGCAGCTATTCCTTCATTGTGGGGACCGAGATGAGCTTCCATTTATCTGCCTCAAGGGGTGTTGGCTACGACTTATGACCGTGGCAGCATCCCCATGGTCACATGATCAAAATTCAGGTGCTTGACCTGTCATGCCCCTATCAGAGTCTGAATCCGAGGAGGAAGACAAGCAGCTGACAGGGAGCGGGAGTGTGGCTCCATTGGCTGTGGAGGAAACTGGGGAGGGGCAAAGTCCGGCTGGGCAGAGCAGGGAAGAGGGAGAACAAGGGAGAGGGAGTTCAGAGGAAGACCCAGGCCCACTCCCTCTTCATCCTAGGGAGGAATGCAGAAAGGAGCAACGTGGGTTGCGTGGCTTACAGGGGAGGAAAGGGCCCTGATTACCTTCATTAGGCACACCTGTGAAGAGTTTAAAAGAGATGCATGCAGAGTGCGGCAGCTGCTGGGAACAAACATGGGCGTCCTCCCAACCGGGCTGAATTACTGCTATTCCTTCACATCTGGACTTCTTGCTCCTGCCCTGTCAGACTAATTACCTCATCTTGCCTTGATTGGACTTATAGTTACAGTTTTTGTTGACCATGTTTTGGACTTGATTCTCTGCAGCCAAAAGCTGTTCCTGGGAGAGTTTTTCTCCAGCCCAGAAAGTAACCAGGACATTGGGGGCAAAGTTGGAGCTAATAAAGGGACTCCTACTGATTATCTGACTGTGTGGCCTTTGTGCCACGCCCCTTTGGGTCATCACATGACCCCTGGTTCATATTTATGACGGTGGCAAAGCCTGGGGTCATGTGATCCCCTTTTGCGACCTTCTGACCTTCCGTGCTCCATCACTAAAGACCCCCCAAAAGAGACTGGACTGCCCCTTGTCCAGAATAAGGTCTCCTGCTTGAGCAGGAGGTTGGACTAGAAGACCTCCAAAGTCCCTTACAAATCTATCCATTCTAATGTTCAAATGAAGTTGGACACAGGCAGCCTCCCCACCAAGGGTGTGTGACCCAAGAGTTGTGGGCCGAGGCAGATGCCACTTGCCTTTGGGGGAAAGGACAGGCCTGAAATGATGCAACATCTCCTGCTTGAGCAGGGGGCTGGACTAGAAGACCTCAGGGGTCCCTTCCAAAACTATCCTTCTGTTATTTGGCTTTCGCAGGTGCCTGCCCCCAGGTATGTCCCCCCCCCCAGCCCCACTCCCTTGCCCCTCTGCTCTGCCCAGCCCCTGCCTCAATGCCACCTCCGTCTTGCCCCATCCAGTGCGACGTCCGCGATGCCAGTTGCCCGCTGAGCCGGGACCCTGCCAGGTACTGCAACCACGCTACTTCTACAGCCCGAACCATGGGCGCTGCCGGGTTTTCTTCTACGGCGGATGCCAGGGCAATGCTAACAACTTCAGGAGCAGAAGCGAATGCCACAGAGTCTGTGGCAGGAGCCAGCCAGGTAAGCCAGGTGAGGTGGGCCCCGCAGCCAACACACACATTACACCCTGAAGGCGCCCGGGAGACATTGCCACCCCTGTGCTTGGCCCGGGAGGAGGGAGGTGGCTCCCAGCTTTCAGCCCGGTTGGCACAGAGTTTGGTACAGTGGTAGCCACATCTGACCCTGGGTTCCACCTGGGTTTTATGTATTTTATTTATTTGGGAATTTAATATTGTCACCTGTTCGCACATGACAACTGAAGGTGGCTTACGGAATAAAAAACCTCATATAAAAACAATACAACTAATAAAGTGTCAGATAATAAATTAATATCATAAAATCCCCACCACCCCCTCTCCATCTCCCAATAAACAACTGTCAAGAGAATCATTTGGGGCTCCAACTCCAAGAATAAATCAAAAGGAGATCCAGATAGCTGTGAGGAAAGAAGAAAATATTTATTTCTAAAAGCCAAACGGTTGGCCTTTAGGGGCAACTGCAGAGAAATGGGGTACAGCAGGAGATTTTTATAAGGGGAACATGTCCAGGGGTGTCGCATGCTGATTCTAGGGTGACACTTGAGTGGTGTGTGGGTTTGTGTGTGTGTGTGAGAGAGAGAGAGAGTTTGTTCTTGGGAACATGCAATTCACAAGGAACTGGAAGCTCCTAATTTCTTTGGGAGGCATAATTTAATTGGTTGTGTTTGCAGACCTTATCCCTTGATACGTTGATTAGGTCTGGGTAACTTATTTGAGGAAGTTTGAGTAAAAGATTTTCCCCAGTTTGCTATTTTTATTTGATTAATTTAGTTTTCAGCTTGGCCATCAATTATCTAGTGGAGACACCAATTCTGAGATCCCTGCATATTGTGTTAATATTTGAAGGGAAGATGGAAACAGTATAAAGTGTAAAATATATTTCGATATAAAGCTTCTCATATAACACCGAGTCAGAAGATCATTTAAAAGCCATTTATTAGAGTATTCTGACAAAGATCTGTCTCACGGTTACTACGAGTGAGCGACGTGCCACCTATATTATACCTGCGTGTTTGGATTTTCTTGCCAAAATGGAGAGCCTTACTTTTTGGTTTGATAAAACCTTATCATCATTTTAGAAAGAGAGAGAAATCCGATAAATTTAAAATACAAAGTAAGTATGTCAATTAACAATTTACGAAATCCATGTCATGCGTCCCTCCCCAGCCAGACCCACCTCCCCTGCCCTTTAGCCAGCGGTGGAATTGGAATAACTGAACCATCGGTTCTCTGGCTAGGTAGGCATGGCCGGTTGGTCCTGGGACTAGGTGGGTGACGTCACTCATCACACTCAGCCCCGCCTCCTGGCCACTCACCTGAAAGGCAGAGGTAGGATTCAGCTGCTTGGGGTTAATCCCACCACTGGCTGGTCCTGCCCCTGTGCATTTTTGGGCGGTTTTGGGGGGCTTGGGGGCATTTTCAGGCCATTTTTTGGCTCAAGAATGTCCTGAAAACTGGCCTGAAAATGGTCAAGCACCAGGCCAAAAAACAGCCCAGAAAACAGGCTGAAAAATGAGCAGGGGCTGGGTTAGCCAGTGGTGGGATTTGCCGGTTCACTGAACTGCACAGAATTTTAACAACCGGATCTCTGAAACCGGTGCGAACCAGCAGTAGCAGAAAGGATTGGGGTGAAATTTGGGGGGAGGGTCTGCCAAAGAAGGCTGCTGGGAGGGTGCAGGGTGGGTCTGAAGGCCAATTCTGGGGGTGGAAGCCAAGAGGGGCAGGGCCCCTTCCCTGTCCTTGCCCAGGCTGCCTGCTTAGTGGGTCCCCAAATGGATCGTGTGCATTTGGTATCTCTGAGTGGGAATGTTTTCGGAAGGGGAGAGCACCTTAGCTGAGCCACGGCGAGTCCATTGGGCCTTCCCCACCAGCTTGTGGGTCTCACACAGGGATTGTGGGTCTGGCCACAGAATGCCAAGAGACCCGTGTCAGAAACAAGCAACGGGAACATAAGTAGCTTCCAGCAGAAACTTTATGGCAGTCACGACTTATGATTCTTCATTTATTGACCATTCAAAGTTACAATGGCACTGGGGGGGAAAAGGGACTTAGGACCATTTTTCACACTTATGACCATTGAGGCATTCCCCTGGTAATGTGATCCAAATTTAGATGCTTGGGAAGGGGCTCGTATTTATGACGGTCACTGTGTCCCTGGGGGGTGAAGTCACGTGATTCCCCTTTTGCAACGTCCTGACGTGCAAAGTCGATGAGGAAGCCTGATTCACTTAATAACCGTGCACCTAACTTAACTGCGGTGATGCACTTCACAACAGTGCCAGGGAAGGTCGCAAAAATGGGGCAAAGGTCACTGAACAAATGTCTCGCTTTACAACAGAAATTTGGGGGTCAATTGCAGTCGTAAGTCCAGGACTGCCTGTATTACAAGAATCTGACCAGACCCACTGAATCCAGGGGTGGGATTCTCTTGGTTCGGACTGGTTCGGATGAACCGGATGTTCAGTTTCCATCTGGTTCGCTGAACCGCTATTTCAACCAACTGGCTGGCC